TTTCCCAAATCATTAACCTATAAGTTAAGCTGGAAATAAAGAAGTTATTTACGCTATCGTATTAATTAGTCAACGTTTCGGCTCTTTCGTTTCGTAACTCTTATCGGGTAAACAAATTAATTACACAGTTTAGCGAACACACTTGCTCAAGGATCGACAGAAATATAATTTTAGTAGCTCCATAGTTTAGATTAATACATTATAATTCAAATTGACCCGTTATTAAAAGGTCGTAAGAAACTAAAAAAAAATGAATTAAGTAAGAAGGTTGTTATATTTATACTTATCCAATTTGTATAGTACACTTCCTTATATACTGTATTTATTTGTGACTCTTGGCTTAACCTTTTAGTTTCTTAGAACCTCTGAACCTTTCAGTACGTTCATCTATTTTGGAACACATGAACGATCGCTAGGTGTGATTCACCCTTTGTGCCACTTCATTGGTTTATCAATGATGGATAGAATTATCTCATATATAACCAATGAAGTTTATTGTTTATAATAAAAACGAAAATGTTAGAACCGGAATTTTATATATTCGAAGAAGAAATAATTGAACTAATTGCATACATTAGATTAGAAACTGATTTCGTATGAGATTAAGTATTAAGAAAAAGTTTGTACTTCTTCTCTATATTAATTGTCATATCATCGTCATTATCCTTTAACTTTATCGTTCACTTCTTTCTCGGAAAATTTGTTTCGATAGCAACATTTATAATAAAAACTATATATTTTGCCCTATATTACAAGCAATTTATATTAACAACCTTACGAATACTTACTGTATTGAATCACTTTCAAGACTACAGAAATGATATACTAATAATGATAATAATTATACTAATGATATACTAATGTTGTGTATCAAACAAAGAAACAATAATTTTTTGACGTAGAAATCAAAATTTTAAGTTGAAAGGCTGTCACTTTGTTCTTTTTTTTTTTTTTAATATTTTCAAACTATTCTAATTCTGACGATAACAAGCCATATAGATTAAAAATCATGGCAACCATGAACAGCAACTTTTATTTAACGATCCCTCGCATTCGCACGATAACTCGCTAGTAAAATATTATTTTTACTTGAAAAAAATTCAGCTTATTGTTTTAGCACTAATTAATAGTTACACGCAGTTTCAAAATAATCCGTAACAGAGTTATTTCTACAAAAAGTTCCAATTATCGTCTCATTTTTCGGCCGCTAGGCTAGCATATTCCCTTGACATTTTAAGTGAATTCACGTCACTTAAAATTCTATTCCTGGTTATGAAAAAATTACGAATATCTTTTCATTTATTCCACTACATATTTACAACACTGATATTTCAAAACATATTTTTTAATTTTTATCTTCGCCCCAACGATACAAATTTGTGATGTCGAGCTTCAGAATTTTAGTATTCGTTAATTGAAAAGTAAAATATCTGCCTGTCGCGAATGTGTTAATTTAATTATGAACACTTGACTCTTTCGATCCTAGTGATACATATATATTCCAGTGAATGTTTCTAGGCGTGTTGGTCAGATTACAACGGAAAGTCACAGGAACATATGGATAAAAAAAAAAATAAACCTCATTTGCATTGGAATAAATTGTCATTTCTTATCCGGCTACAGCTTTTGACTTATAGCAAATCCTAATTTAACACACTTAATTTTTAAAAGTGAATCGAATAGAAATTAAATAGAAAAGTTAATAACGTCCTGGTTCAGAACGATAACTCGCGAAATCTGTATGAAAATCATAAGCAACGCTCGTCACGTCTTAATCCAATTCCCTCGATTAACACCGGCGACTATTTAAGACGGACGGATGCGTCAACGAAGACGTCCCGCGCCGCCATGCTATACTCGTAGCCCGTAGGCATCGCAGGATTAACGTGGCCTAATTCAGGCAGCTTAGAAGCGGCGAAGATAGGAAAAGGAGGGTCGGAAGCCGGTAATTCCAAGCTCCTTCGCAAGTACCGAGCGGAGCCCTCCTCGAGAATAAAAAGCGACCTGATTATCCTTTGTTTTATCCCCGGGGAATCCGGGCGGTATCCCATCGCGGGATTCGCCGGCCCCCTACCCGACGGAAACTGGGAAAAACTTTTTAAAGACCTGCGTCGTACCTCCGCGACCGGCTCTCTTCGTTCCGTGACCTGTTTCACTGAACAGGAACTTTCGGAATTTCGTTCCAACTCTTAACCGAACCGCGGGACCTCGTCTCCGTCTCTCCTCCTGAACGGGCAATCCAGTCGGATCGGCGAACTGGCTCGAAGATCGAGACCTGTCCCCCCTGGATCCCCCTGACGGAGATTTACCATAAGGAGCAAGGCAAACACCGTGAGCGCACGTAGACCCGAGCGAATCCCGTGGATCCTGGCGCCGAATCGAAATAAGTTCACGGCGGCGCGGATAAGAGAGACTTTTATCGTCGCAAAAACGACCCATCTGCACATACTCGTCGTTACACGGACCCTGGAATTGAACAAAGATTCTATTACACCCTTGTGTCTTTATGGTCGTTATCGTTTAATGGATCGGAGACGGAACCGAGACACGGGGATTTGTGAAAATCGTGGCTTAAGGATGGGGTTGGAGCGTGGGCATCGGTAACGCTTTACGACTGCGGCTTGGCGGACGTTTTTAACTGCGTAATTCTACGTCGTGACGAATGTTCATTCCGTACGTTTCGTTCGTTCGCGATCGTCCACGTGATGGACGTCGTTTCATTTCTGTTTGGACTGTTTGTAACGCCGCAATTCTGACAAGAATCTTTACGGGTCGAATCTGTCGGATCGCAAATCACGGTAGGCGACGCAACGATGCCTCTCACGGGTACGTTATAGTAGGGAATTTAATAAAATACTAGTAGATTCCGCCGTTAAGGGTGACGAATGGCTAAGGATTTACAGAATATTTTTGTTATTTTGTTTAATTTTGTTTACTTTTACTGGAATCTTTATTTATTGAATTTTCTTGTGGACTACATTCTTTGTACAAACTTTATTATTTTCTAAATGGTTTGCTTTTTCATCGTTTTAAGTAATGAATTCACAGATAAACATTAGACGAAAATGTACACTAAACTAAGAAGAAAGTAATACGCGAATTGTTTCAGATTATACATATACAGGGTGAGTCACCTAACGTTTGCACGTCAAATATCTTTGTCGTTTTTAAAGATACATCAAATATCATAAGGACAAAGTTAAATGCTTCAATGGGGCTTACACGATACCAAAAGTATTTTTGTTTTATGTCATCTTTTTTTAAAGTATCAAGGTCACCTTCATTTTCTTAAATGGAACCATCCTATTTCAAACACCTACAATGATAGTTCCCTTCATTAGGAATTCAACAATCATAATTATTGAAGGTTATTCAAAGTCACGGACGGAAAAAACGTATAAGATTTACAATATGAAAGCAGTATGCCAAATATAAAATATTTTATTAATATAATGATTGATGTTGCAAAGAAAACTTCGTTATGATTTTATAAACTATTGTACATTCATTGAAACAACTCTATTGTCTTTTAACAGAATTTGTTCTTTAGCATTTTAAACAATGAATTCGCAATCCGAAAAAGATCGAAACTAAATTGTGAAGAAAGTAGTACACTAATTGTTTTAAATAATATGTACGCAATGTAAATACTATATTATCAATATATAATTATCAGTATATTTATTCGTACAAATATATATATTTGTAACGTTAAAAACAACATTCTTTGTAAAAGATTTATTGACTTTTAAAATATCTCCCTTTTCACCATTTTAAATAAGTAATGAATTCACTATCAGACAAAAATTTAAACTATACTGGGAAGCAAATACTACACTGATTGTTTCAGGTTGTATGCATCTAATATAATAATAATAATAATCTAATATAAATATAATTATATATATTAGATATCTATAGATCTATACATTAGATGATTATTTTTACATTACATTATCAATATAAAAATTTATATAGATAAGAACATTCATTATCATACTAAATTGTAACATAACTTACGTATGTACATACTTATATTATTGTGAAAGATGAATTTTTGATAAATCTTATTCGTCTTTTCAAAATCAGAAATGATTTTATTCTGGGAAAGGCTAGTTTACACCGGAAGATCGACTTGAAGTTATTGTTCTGAAAATTAAAAAGATATCTACATTATTCCCAAGCCATTAATCACTTTGAATTTTTGAGCAAACAGATTCAACATAGATTTTATACAATGTTATCTTCTTACTTAATAATTTCAAATAATAGACATGATTTTCATTGACTAAGAGACCATATAGAAAATAATATTAATTTCTCACTGCTTTAACCTAATGATGAGAAATTAAAACACATTCTCAATTTTGCTCCAAAGCCAACAAAAATCACATCTATTCTACTATCATTAGGATTCCTAACTCTACAGACAAGCAATTATCCTAATTACGCTATCCAAATTCTCCTGGATCGTCTTCAATTCGACCGTTTCAAATGTTCCCGCTAAAACTCGTAGGCTGCACGCGAATGAATCCCCGCGATATCTTTTAATCCACGGTCCTCAAACGTTTCTCGTCGCATTTCGCTTTTATTTTCCACCCAAACTAACTTCCCAGAGTTTCATAGAAACAACAAGCTCGTATCAACCGGCGAAGTCAGCTTTCCATGCTTAGATACATTCCCACTGGCAGAAATGAATTCCGTGCCGAGACCTCGGTTAAATCAGCCGCTTTATGCGCGGGAACCGCGCCGTCTCGTTCGCCAAGCTTTTATTTCAATTTCGCGGTACGTTCGCGGCTCGTTAGGGGTGCTAAAGAAAACCTGAGAAAAAAAAAGAGGGCTAAAGAGCTAGGAAACGTAGAAATAGAGCGAGAGCTCGAGCTAGACGGTGTGAAAGAAAGGAAAGGGCTGGAAATTCCTCGCCACCTTGGGATTACCAGCAGGTTAATTACAAGAGAGAACGGTGCTTGTGTTTACCAAGCTGGCTATTTGTCTTCCAGGTGTTATCAGCCAGGTGATAAGCACCCTTCTTGGCCGTGAAACCGGGCGCGCTGACAACGGGGATTCTTCTCTCGCTCTTCTTCCACCTTCCCTTGTACTCTGGTTGGCGGAGGGTGGCTCGTGCGGTCCTCGAACTGGAACGGAAGCCGCACCGCCTTCAGGGAGCCGACGGGGAATGATAGAAGATGAGCGCGACCGGTGAAGGAAGACCGAGGGAAGAGTGAAGGAACCGTGGAAGCTATCCGGAACAACGAAGATGAGATGGGATGCTGCGCTCTGCCTACTTTCGCTGCTGCTCCTCTCGCTGGCCAATCTTTGCTGGGCTATCGTCGAAACCCGAGGTACGTGAGAATTTTCAAAGGCGATGCTTTAATCTTGAGTCGAGGGACCTAAGATTAACCTATTCAGGCAGTATTTCTTCGTGAAAAAAAGCAACTCAATAGCTTTATTTTCCTAATCCGGTTCAATAGTACGATAGCGCTAGTTGTTTGAGGACATAGAAATTTATCTATTCAAATTACACCACTAGCAAGAATTCTTACATCCCCTTTATGAAAGACAGAAAATTTAATGAATATTCTGCTTTGTAACGGAATAAACCAATTCAGATAGTATTTTTTCATGCAGATGTAAATGATTACTTTTATTTACCTATTCTGTTTCAATAATACAGTGGAGCAGGTATAGTTATTCTATTTTTATTTGCTATCACAGAAATTTACCTGTTCAAATTGCTGCACTATTTTCCTTAGATCTTACACTCCCTTTATGAACATTAATATACAAAGAAGAGAAACTTTAATGAATATTCTGCTCTGAACTGAAATTGATTCGATTCTTTTAAAGAATTTTTGATGGCGATGCTTTAAGGGGTCACAACACTGTAACATCCTTAAAACAATGCCCTCAGACTAGTTGTTCCGGTTCGAAGGGTTAAGAGACGTAATATACACCTACGACAGTCAAACTAGTCCAATGTTAGTAACTTTTTGGCCGAACAAGTAAATTCATGAAATTGTAAGTGTATCTTCTGTAGCATTCAACTAAATTACAAACAAAAGGAAATTGCTAAACAAGAAGCAGAAATAACAGTATTGGTTTAAACCAAATTTATTTTTGGATAAAATAGAGCTAGCCTAAGGTTACAAGAGCGACTTTTCGATTGGCTTTTCCCCTTATCCTAGATATGTATTCCCCTCTCAAATTTCGCGTCGGCGAGGCAAGATTAGGTCGATCAACGCGATACTTCATTCCTCTGCATCCACTCGCGAGAAACGTTGCTAGAATCTAATTCCGACGAACGTTCCTCTTATACTCTTATTAATATTTTATGGCGAGAGTTGTTCTCTGGGAAATCGAAACGAATGCGAAGAGAAAACGTTAAAACTTTACTCTACTGGAGTTTCACGGTCCTTTCGAGGTTATATTGGATGAGAAGCTCATCGTTGCTTTTTTCTGAATCTCATTTTTCGGGAGAGGCTTAGAAGTTTGCGCGTTGTGGAAAGGAATGAAAGTTTTCAGCTTGTGGTGAAGGAATTTTTCTTTTTTTTTTTATAGACCTTATTCGAAATCGACGTTATCTCTTTCCGCGTGAATTCAATTCTGAACGTTCAAAAAGCTACGTGATTTTCATTGGAAAATATTAGTAAAGTTTGAATGATATAGGAGATCTTTATGAAACTTACGTCGAGAAATAGTGATGAAAGAATGCATACTAATCATTATAGCAAATATATGTACACGTCAAGTAATTATGAGGAAAAAATAGCCGAATTATGCTTTATGCAATGCTCTTTCAGATGACAGTGAGAAAAGAAATCATTCTTCATATATTTTATTGAATGTTTTTAAATTTCATTGAACAGAAAATTATATAAATCAAGTCCTTATACAATCGAGACATTCGAAAATCAGAATATAAATTTAAAGGTGAATAAGTATAAATATAAAACAAATTGAATAATATTAAACGTGATATTTTGCATTTAGCTTTCCTTAAAAATCTTCAAGCTATATCATATAACATATTCCAACTTTTAGTAGCTTATGTATACAAAATTATATATTGCGATTAACATAAGCCTGTAAAATTGAAATAACATATTGTAACTTTCATGACCTTATAACTTCCATATAATACAATTTGTTACAATTTGTATCAGCTTATAATATTTTAAAAATAAATTATATTGCAATTTACATGAGCCTGGAATATTTACATAACATAGTGCCATTTCATGAGCTTGTAATGTTCGTATACTAAAATATATTGCAATTAGTACGACCTTATAATATTTAAATATTAGATTAAATTATAATTTATATAAGCTTGTAATGGTTATACAATGGAATGTAATGCAACTTGCATAACCTTGTAGTGTGTGTATAACACAATATCTTATAATTAGTATGAGCTCATAATGTCCATATAATGAACTATGTTACAACATGTATGAGTATATAATTCATATTACCTCATAACGTTCATTTAATATCTATAAATGAAACACATTTTTTCCAGATCTCAAACTTCGTACATAAATATTAATACAAAAAGGAAATCAAAAAGCAAATATTGCGCTCAAAATTAAAATTATTTCATCTGTTTTCTAGAATTATGTTCCAAAGGGTTGGAAGCATTTGGGACGGTTCGATATTAATTTAATTACGAACGCGCGGGAGGTTGCGATACCGGGTATTAAAGTGAAATAAATTATTCGAAAATGAAATTTCGCCCGAATCCTTTTGAATTCCACGCTTGGCGGCCGGCGGAAAGGCGTCGCCCGAAATAAAGAGCGCGTAAATTAAGGATCATCCGGTTATCAGGTACGTGCCGACGCATACGATTAATTACATCGAGTATTGCACATTCGCGAGCGGCACCCCCCGTCGTTGCTTAGGAATTTTTCGCAAAGGGGGCGAAGAGACTATGAATATTCATAGTCTCGGGCCGAAGTCGAACATAATCCGACGCTTCGACAACGTGACAATCATTTCTGATTTTCCCTTAATTCGACTCACTCACCGACCACTGGTATTCAAATGGAGCGGTGTAAAGCGGCGGGCATTTAAATTCCACGTATTCGCGGAGATTCAAATTAAACAATTCGGTCGCTCGTGATTATTCGTCCCGCTCACCCCCCGCCTCTCCCTCTCCGCGTGGTTTCGCAGAGGCTATTTCAATTAACCCCAAAAATAATAACGTCAATAATTTCGTGATTCGATTCTTATTCATCCCGGGCTCTGCCCCCGCGTGTGGATGAATCGATTATTCCATTATACTCGAATTCGTTTAACCCAGAGAAAACTGAATTTATTATTATTATTTTTTTTTAATGGATTTATTTTAGGTTCATCTACTGCTTGGTCATTAGCGACGAATTTCATTGAGTTTCAATTTCATTTTGAATGAAAGAAACCGTAAGAGAACAAGTTTGACCATTTTTAAATAATTTCATAAAAAAATATAATCTATCCGGAGTTACAGTGGGTGTAGAAATTATTCGTACACCGATCAATTTCCAAAAAAGCTATGTAAAATTGTAATTTATTAACTTATTTTTTTATAAACAATGAAATTCTACATATTCTCGGAAATCTGTAGAATAGATAGAGTACAAAAAAAAATAACTATTTATGTAAGTTGCGAAATTAATAAGAAAAAAACAATTAATCGATAGAAATGTTGAAGCGATAAGTATTCGCACAATTGTTTAATTTTTAAAACTTCATTAAAGAAAAAAGAAATTTACATTAATTTACAAGTATATAATACTTCCTTCGTGGGATTTCCTTTTGATTTTATAATTATTGCAACTCTTCTAAGCGTTAAATTAACTAAATTATTAGTTATTCGAAGTGGGATCTTCTTCAATTCCTCTATTAGAGCTATTTTTAAAAGTACTTTACTGAAAATTTGATGTTTTCTAATCTGTACGGAGCAATAAACTAATGTGTTACAAACTCTACTGTAAATGGTTCGTCATAAGAATCGTACAAATACTTATTGCTTCTATACTTTTACCCACTTTTCGCAGTTTTTTTTTTGTTAATTTTACAAATTATATTAACTAGTAAATGTTGTTTGGACTATATCTATCTTAGAGACTTCCGAGAATATGTAAAATATCATTGATTATAAAAAAAGAAGTTAAGAAACTACAATTTTACAGTTTTTTTGGAAATTGATCGGTGTACGAATACATACTACACCCACTGTAGTTGATTTCATAAAAGTATAAGTTATTTCACAATTATCATAAATGTATTCCTTTTAAAGATGAAATTAAATAACTTTACAGACTCTCGGTGATACCGTTTTTTTTTTAAAACAATTTTAAAAATATACGTTCGATGGGAATTTTAATGGGGGCGGCCTTTTGCCTTTATTAAACGCAATTATCTGCGTTATATTAAATATACTCATCGAGAAGCGTAAAAGCTTAAACATTTTATGAATATTAATGTTCCTATCGCCAAAGAAGATGGAAAATGGATATTTGTTCAGTTTGATGATGCAATTTTATAGCGAGTGATGAAAACATTCGAGCAACTTGTGCAGCTTGAAAAGAAGTTAAGGATAAAAGTAATGACATGTGATTATGCACAGTTTGCTTGCGTGCGCGCACGATATTTATTAAGAATGATTAATAGGATCATATAATCACTTTCTTGTATCTTTACACGTGACTGCCTTTCAGATATTTATTACCTTTTACTTCTACCTGGATGAATATTTTCTACTGTGCGTAAGTAGCATAATACAAAATATGTGCCAATCAGAATTATTTATTCAGTGCTGTTATTTGACTTTTAACTTGTAGATCTTATCAAACGATAAAAACTCTCTAAGCAATAAACCTGTAACATGTAAAAGGTAGCATACTGATTAAGAAATATACATAGTTTTTGTGAAAGCATCTAAATTTAAAGATAAAAGATTATAGTATACTGGAGAAACAGCTTTTATTAATATTTCCAAATAAAATTGAAGCGTAAACATAAACTGTGTCACAGACATCCAAGCTAAAAGTATTAATGCTTGCTAGCTAAATTAAAATGAAAATTATAAACGTAATAGACGAAGTATGCCTGGTGGAACCAGAATAATATAAATCAAAACAAATTAAATTACATTCGATGTGTAAAGTAAAAGCATTCCACTGTAATTATTCAAGACTATATTCACATATTTGACACATTCCACTTATTTCAAACTATGTCCACATTCCGGACATATTAACTAATATTCCCCACGATCAAAAGAGCCAAATTGCAGGGATCACTTCAAATCGCAATAACTCAATAAAACAAAAGTGCAACTTACACAGATACAACACAC